ATAATACCATACTAATTTTTGATCGCAAAAAAACTATTCCTAGATTAGGCTAATTGATAAAGATTTAAAGGCTAAATTTTAACAATATTTGCCTGGAGCGATTATTGAAAATGCTTTATTAACCAGTCAAAAAAAGGGCGTTTACTTATTAATCTTGTCATATTCTGTCAGAAAATAGTTTCAAGGTCGTTCCATGTTTAATAAATTTATTTTACTTTAAGGGGTTTAACTGTTGCATGGTATGTATGTATATGTATGTATGTATGGGTGTATGTATAGATGTATGTATGTATACATGTATGTATGTATGTATATGTATAAGTATACAAATTTTTACCTCATTGTTTCATTCAAAGTTTTGCCAGGGGATATTTTTAATGTTTTAGCTGGAAGCATATTATTCTTAACCTTCCTTATAAACTACCCCTCTATCCTTCTAATACTTCATTCACCCTTCAAACATAATGAATAGGATGAATAATATAGACAATAAATGTTTGAAAAGAAAAAAAATTGAAAGTCCAATGAATCAACTTAAAGGGACTGTGTAGACATTATTTCAAGTGAGAGTCCCTTTGAAGAGAGACATTACCGATTCACAAATATCAACCTGTACATCTGTACAACCTGTACATCTGTACATCTGTACAACCTGTACATCTGTACATCTGTACAACCTGTACATCTGTACATCTGTACAACCTGTACACTGTACACCTTTGTCTAAACAAAATCGATGAAACCGCTTTATCCTAAATGGAGGGTCACAGGAAAATACGTCTACACAAGAATGTTATGCAAGGAAAGTTAATTGCAGTTGCGTATACTCTGCGTACATATTGAAACCAGTTCTCTCTGGGCGGAATAAACAAGAATAGATTCCTCAGTGTTCGTTTAGTATCCGAAGAGGTTAAAAGCATTGAATTATGATAATTTTGAAAATTCACATAATAGTTTCTATTGACCAGAATATGTCATTGATTATTTATGTGAAAGATGGATCCCATGTCAGGCTTCGACATCCGTCTTGTTTTTACATTACCGCCCAGAGACAGTACACTGCAGTACAAAAGATGTGTACACTTCTGAAATAACTTTCCTTGCATTATATCCTTGCGTCTACAGTCCCTTTACGAGGGAATGAACTTCACGAAAAAAATGTTTTAACTTCTTTATTTATTTTGGAATTATTTAAACCAAACTAAATATTCTTTTTAAATTCTGATTTGTTCTGCGTTCTTTAAAAGGTTATTAACGAATTAATGAGTAATATGTTTTATTTATAAATTATGCCAAGTAAGTACTTGGCTGCGCGTGCGCCTAAAGTAAGACTAATTGTTTAAAAGATTGAGGCGTGTTCTCCGCCCCCCCCCCATTGCCCCACTCTTTAAATTCTCCCCCCTCCCTCACCTACTTTTTATATTCACCTGGCTATGCCAGGGTTCTGACATCTGATGGACTAATAAAGAATACATCAACCTTTCATCCATCCATTCACTGTATCCTTCATCCTGTATCCTGTATTTTGTATTCTGTGTTTATGTATCCTGTATCCTGCATCCTGTATCTAGCCTGTATTCTGTATTCCGTATTCTGTGAATATGTATCCTGTATCCTATATCCTGTATCTATCCAGTATCCTGTATCCTGTATTCTGTATGCTGTACCCTGTATCCTGCATCCTGCATCGTGTATCATGTATTCAGGTTTCTAAAGTCTGTATCCTGTATTCTGTATCCTCTATCCTTTATCCTTTATCCTGTATCCTGTATCCTGTATCCTGTATATATATGCACATACAAAAATATGTATGTAGTGAATGCCTTACTCCAACAAGTTTCGTTAAAGGGAGTGTTCGCGAAAAATGAATGGGGGTATAGGCTTACGGCGAAAAATAAGCGCTTTTGATCGCTACTAATCTTACTTCTATTGTACGTAATTAAGCTAAATGTCAATGATAAGACCGATAAAACTTTTACGTAGTTAAATGTTATAACGTATAATATATACAGATATGTTTAGGTATACAATACGCTACGATATTTATTATATAAACATAGTAAAGTTTATAAGAGAAACTATTCAAAACAAACACAAACTAACCTTTCAGCCTTTCTCACTTTCCAGTTCATTATAGTAATTTCAATTATCTCCAATTCTATATTTCTAATTTAAATATTCATTTAATTCAATTTTCATTATTTAATTATCTAAAATATTGTACATTTAATTCTTCTATTGCATTTCCTTATAATTATTTCAGACATTTACATTTTTTAACTTTACTTTCCCACGTTGTAATCCATTTTTTCCTTTTCTCTTCTCACTTTCTCATATTTTCATCAGCTATTTTTCTCCTAATCCGATACAATTTTCCCCAGTTTCTTTATTTTCTCAACTTTTCATTAACCATGCAGCATTATTTCACTCTCATGAATATTTTATATTTTTATTAAACTACAAAGCTTGAGATATCACAATACTATACAGTTTGGACCCGCCTAACCAGGCATACTTTCCATAGTTTCTTCACATTCATATTTCCTCCCCCTGCCCTACCCCTATGCAAGTATACATTGCAAAACTAATTATTGTGGATGTAAGTGTGGGAACCATGTTTATTTATGAGTTTACTTTTAGTGAAACTTTAGCAGATGATACAGTCATATAGATACATTTGGAACTTATAAAAATGTAATTCCAAATTATGCTGGGGATATCTAACAAATCCTAACATTTTGCTCGAAATTTTGAACAAAATATTCATAATTTGGAACAAAAGGTCATAATTTCTAACAATCTATTCATAATTTTAAACAAAATGTTCATAATTTCGAAAAAAAATATTCATAATTTCGAACATAATATTCATAATTTTGAAAAAAATGTTCATAATTTCGAACAAAATATTTCAAATTTCGAACAAAATCTCCATAATTTCGAACAAAATATTCATCGAATATCGAACAAGATGTTCATAATTTTGAACCTAATATTCATAATTTCGCACAAAATATTCATAATTTCATATTCATATTTTGAACAAAATATTCATAATTTTTAACAAAATATTCATAATATCGAACAAGATATTCACAATTTCGAACAAAATATTCATAATTTCGAACAAAATATTCATAATTTCGAACAAAATATTTATAATTTGAACAAAATGCTCATAATTTGAACAAAATATTCATCATTTTGAACAAAATGTTCATAATTTTGAGCAAAATATTCATAATTTGAACAAAATATTCATAATATGGAACATGATATTCATAATTTCGAACAAAATATTCACCATTTTGAACAAAATGTTCATAATTTCGAGCAAAATATTCACAATTTTGAGCAAAATATTCATAATTTTGAACAAAATATTTATAATTTGAACAAAATATTCATAATTTGAACAAAATATTCATAATTTAAACAAAATATTCTATAATTTTGAACAAAATGTTCATAATTTCGAGCAAAATGTAAGATTTCTTCTTACTTACACAATCATACATTTTCTCTTCTTGTTCATTTTTTATTGTACATTTTTTAAACTATTTAAATATGAATTTAACATTTCTTACAATTATTCTTCATCTACTTTCATTTCCTGTCGGACCCCCCACAGTGTTTTGAGGGTAAAAAATGGTTACGTGTGGGTATGGTTTAGATAAGGATGGTGGGGGTGGGGGAGGAGAAATTTGATCTTTAACTTTTTGTTAGACAATTTTTTCAAATGATCGAGTTATTAGAAAGATCAAATTCCCTTTTTATTATAACACTGAGTAGGTTCGTTTAAAATTTTAAAGGTTATCTCTTTGTAATCTATAAATTTATATTTTTAAACTGTATATACTCCTAGTTTAGTTGGTTAAATTCCTCTCTCTCTCTCTCTATTCTTTATGCTTCTCTCTTCTCTCTCTTTAGAAAGTAAAATAGTTAAAGGAAGGTTTAAGAAGATTTTTTTTAATCAAATTTAATTTTTCATTTTTACTTGAATTATAATGTCGGAGATCGAATTAAAGTTTGAAATGAATTAATATCTTTGATTAATATCTTTAAGTAGTAACTTAATAGAGATTTTTATTACTATCATGAGTTTAAATCTGCTATAGGAGCTGCAGTTAAAGTTCAACTAGTGATCAAACATCAGTCTTTTCAATCATACCCGGAGCTGAGTGTAAACACAACCTTGATGTTTGAACCTTATCTTCATATTACAAAAACATTGTTTCAAATTAAATGTTTTATATAAGATACTTTTTCTAATTAGTAGGAAGGGGAAGGTTACGTATATATATATAGTTTAATGTAAACCTATTGTTCACAACAATATTACAACTTTTTCCCACCTGAACGCACGTAAACCAAGTTTTAAATACATTTATTATAATGATCACCAATGTTTCGATTTACAACAGATTTCGTAATTTCAGAGAAAAAGGAAATTCATCATTGATTTCCAACATTGTTTTTCTGTTAAAAGTGTGAATGTTTTCTACGTGAAAATGGATAAAAGAAGTGGTGAGAATGATGATTTTAGTGATTTTAAACTATTTAGCTTTGATTTACCAAGGTTTCTTTTCCCAGGCCAGTCATTGAGTTCACAATGCATTCTATTCTATTTTACTATCATTGGGTTGTCTCTGTAGATAGCGGAAATATTTTTTAGAAAATTAGAAACCTCATTTTTTCTTGCGAACGTTCTCTGTTGTTCTTAATAATTCTATTGTCAACGGATTATAACCCTCTAAGCTCGAAGGGTTTGTGATTCTTGAAGGATATTAAGGGGTCTAAAATGTGTTTATCTCCTCAATAGATCTGCAATGTCTAATCCTTCCTCGATTACAGAAATTGACCCCCCAGAACTTAGGTGGGTTTTTTTTTCATACTCTGAGGCCAATAAACAGTCAAAACCCTAACAAAGTGTCCTAATGGTTGACACAGCTCATCGGTTTACTGATCTGTAATAATTCTTTATACTTTTTATATTTCAGAATCCCGGGGTTTGCAGCGCAGTATATCATTACAGGAGAGAGGTAGAGACGGGTTGGGTCACCTATTCCAAGATACCACAAGGTTTAAGTTGGGTCGGAGAAGATCATCTCTTATTCATCTTGTTCCCTCCCTGGCCCCCCTCCCCGGCACCCCAACCCTTCATCGTCCCCGGATACCCCCACCTCCCCCTCCGGTCATAGAACCAAACCTATCTCCGTTCTCTCCCTTAGAGCTAGACAGGATTAACACCATGATCAAGAGAACGGAGCAGGACGAGTTTAAGCCGACTGATACGGAGCAGGACGATTTTTCAGAGTTTAGTGAAGACGAGTTTGATCCTGTAGGTCTAGACTACGAGAATATTCCTCTAGGTACCAGTTTTATCTGATATTAATATCAAGGGTTCAATATGCTCTTTCATCCCATGTGAAATCTAGAAGCGAGCAACAAGTTTTCAATGTCAAAGTTTAATCAATCTGATCATAACATATCCTTAATCCTAACCACCAATATTTAATCTGATCATATCATATCCTTAATCCTAACCACCAATATTTAATCTGATCATAACATATCCTTAATCCTAACCACCAATATTTAATCTGATCATATCATATCCTTAATCCTAACCACCAATATTTAATCTTATCATATTATATCCTTAATCCTAACCACCAATATTTAATCTGATCATATCATATCCTTAATCCTAACCACCAATATTTAATCTGATCATATCATATCCTTAATCCTAACCACCAATATTTAATCAACCCAATAGAATTGAGCGTGACTGATTTAGACCTAAAACCTTGAACCCAAAATTGTATTTTACTTAAAAATTTTATAACCGTCGTGGTACATCTTAATATTCCCGGTTTTCTGTATATGGCTTGAGGATTAAGCTCCGTGTTTGGATGAAGTATGCTGGGTTTAAGAATAGATTACATGGAGTAAGGTGTCAACACGTCCAGGGATGAGGGATGAGGGAGGATCCCAAAACAGTAATCAAAATAGCAAATTTTCTTTCAGAGCGACCAGCCCCTGACGGAGCTGAAGCAGGACCGGAGTATGATATCCCAGAGCTGAATGAGTCTGCGGAGGATATAAAGTTTGAACTCAACCTCTCCATTGATTCATGCGAGAGTAGGCTTTTGGACATTTCGGAGGATTCTTTAAACATTCCTAAACTTAGTGATACATCCTTTGACCGGGATAGTATAGTAGAGGAGTCTAGTCAGGTTATCTCAGGGTCTGTGATACATAAGGAGGGAGAGAAAACCATTATTAGGAGTCCAGGAATGGTTGAATCGAACACTGGTTTAGAGAACCGGGTTTATATCAGTTCCTCCTCCTGGATAAATATAGAGTCGGGTTCTCAGGGTTCTAATTTTGTCTCCAGTACGGAGATGGGAGGAGATGTTGGAGAAGAATGCACGCTTGAACCTGTCAAACCTCCAAGGTTGAAGAAAATCGCGAGACAACAGTCTAAACAAGAACTACTCAGAGCCAAAGGTTTCGGATTGAACTTGAACAAATCCGAAGATGAGACTGCAGCTGAAAAACCTGACATGAGTAGGTCCAGGGTTCGACCTGAGATAAGTTCTCCAGTCCTCATAAACTCTACCATGAACCCTGATGATCTGGAGAACCACAAATGTATCCCACTCTCAATCCTTGGAGACATATCTCATATTACCGAGTCAGTTTACAGATCAAGTTTCTCCGAGTCAGAGGGGAGTTTCTACACCCTGGAGTCAATTCTTGACGAGACCTACAGATCCACAGGTTCAGATATATACAATGAGCATATATACGAGGAGATTCAGGATAATAAGTTAAGAATTCGTCCTCTCCCACCCATTCCGGAGGGTTCAGCTGGATCCGGATCCATATTTACCGGAGCAACAAAATCAGAAATCCTTCATTTTCTCAATGACGCCAAACTCCGGTTGGGCGGAGGAAATGGCTCCGGCGAGGTTGATTCCTCCGCCGAAGAACACTACACGGCGGACGGAGTGTTTCTCGGAGTAAGGAATAACAAGCATAGAATCAGCGCCATTAGTAACATCAGTGACTCCAGTAACAGTAGCAATGATAGCAGTGGAGACGGGAGTGTGCAGTGGCGTGGGCCACTGGAGAAAATTGCTGGAAGAGTAGATATTGAGAGAAATGATTCCGGGGTTGGATCCGACTCCGGGATTAGTAACTCCAAGATCTCCACCTCGGAGATAGGTTCCGTGTGCTGCAGGGACTGTGAGTTCGTCCTGGTTGATGAGGAGAACCTCTGCTCCAAGTGCAGTAAACGAAGGACGGAGAGAAAAGAGATCATAAACGAGATTGTCGAGACGGAGATAAAATATGGAAACGATCTTAGAATTATTGTTGACGAGTTTTATCGTCCAATGCTAGGCACGGTTCATTACTCTCTTATTCATACTTGAGAACCCTCTTTTGAACCTTGTCAAATCTTGTCAAAACCTTGCCTCACCTCAACCATGTCTGATTTAATCCTTGTGCGCCGAATCAACCCCGTTATTATTTCTAGGTCAAAACTTGATTATTCGTTTTAATTTCTAACTTCATAAATCTAAATATATCTGGCCGGAAGAAGGACGTTATTCTTCAAATATATCCGGGGGTTGAAAGATTACGTATTTGGCTGTGGATCCATATATATCTTCCAGGTTAATTAGAAGGATATATATGAACTCCTGCAAATGTATGGTTTGCCCGGAGCTCAGGGTTTCGCCATGAACCCTGAGGGTAGTTTAAGATCCAACCCTGACAAACCAAACCAATTCTCTATTATGGAATCTGTCCTGAATCAACTTCAAACTTAGGTCTCGATCAATATTTACTTTAAAAATTTCCAAATACTTGAAATTGTTCACACACACACCCTAAATAATATTTATAGATACTTATCCTTGCACCCCACCCCCACCCCTCCATCCCACACCCTCTCCCTGTCCCCCGGGTATCCTTGAGTAATGAACCTGTATATATAGTTGCTGGATTACTAACTGCTGATCAGCTGAGTAATATATTCCTGAACGTAAACCAACTAATCTCCGTCAACTCCTCCTTCTCCGCCCTGCTCAAGGAGGCCGTGGACCTCGCTCAGGTGGCGGAGGACGAGGATCTCTGCTCAGTAGATATTGGTTCGATCTTCCTCGACTCTCTGAGCATGCTCCGGGCTTTCGAAGCATATTGTACACGACAGGTAGAATAAAACTCATTATATTCATCCTGTACTTTTATGAAATGTTTTAAACTTCAGTTCCCTTTTCCTTCCTTCGCTCATTTCATCTCTTGTTTTCATATGTCTCCTCTTTTCTTTTTTTAAAACCATTTCCCCGTCATTCTCCTCCTTCCCCCCTTTCCCCTCCTTCCCATCCTCCCCCCTTCCCATCCTCCCACCTCCCCCTCCGGTCATAGAACCAAACCTAAGGGGGGGGGGGGGGAGGGCAACCAATTTGAGTTTGATAAAACTGAAAAATTCCTTTTCTTTTCAAGGCCTTTTTTTCTTCCCTAAATTATGTAAGTATGTTTATATTTTAAATTCATGTATTTCATATTTTTCTCATTATTACCATTATCATATATCATCATAATTGTTTTGAGTATTAGATAGGCCTTTTATTATCTTATATGGATATCCCTTCCATAATTCCTATTTATTATGGATATCCCTTGCAAAATTCCTGTTTATTATGGAAATCTCTTCAATAATTCCTATTTGTTATGTATATCCCTTTCTTAATTCCTGTTTATTATGGATATTCCTTTCTTAATTCCTCTTTATTATGGATATCCCTTTCTTAATTCCTTTTATTATGGATATCCCTCGCAAAATTTTTATTTATTATGGATATCTCTTTCTTAATAATTCCGATTTGTCTTTCTGTAGTATAGAAATGTGGAAACCACTTTTATAGAGAAACCACAATAAAAATAATCAGTTTTCAAAAGGATGAAAATTGATATCTAATTCATACTTGATCAGAAAAAGCTTGTAAAGGTACCGTTGTGAATTTGGCTTAGGAGGATCACTTGAAATTACAATCTTTTTGATATTTCCTTCCTGAATTGCATATTTCCTCCCCAATTCCATGACGCCATCTTGCTCTTCCTAGTTTTCCTGCGCCCCTACCTTTATTTTAATAATATTTCCTCTGCCCCGCGAGAAAATGAAATATCCTGCTAAAGTTCAGCAAAAGAGGAAATTATCGGTGTATAAGCAAGGTTAGAGAAGTACTAGCTCTATAGGATACAGGATTACACAATCCAGAGAATTATAATATCTTCGAACCCTCATTTCCTTTACTATAGTTCACTGAACACTGAACACCCCCTCCCCCATATTAACTATCTTTTATGTACATATACACCCCCTTCCTACACTTTCTACCCCTAGATACACCTGTATCTTCATTGGTGTTTCTACTTTCTATATTCATTTCCTTTCATACCTGGCCTTTAATTTTGTACCCGGCCTTTCCTTTTATACCTGGCTAAAGTTTTGTACCCGGCATTTCCTTTCATAACGGGCCTTTAATTTTGTACCCGGCATTTCCTTTCATACATGGCCTTTAATTTTGTACCCGGCCTTTCATTTCATACCCGGCCTTCTATTTCCTTCCGGCCTTTCCTTTCATGCCCGGCCTTTCCTTTCATGCCCGGCCTTTTATTTCATACTCAGCCTTTCATTTCATACCCGGTTTTTTATTTCATACCCGGTTTCTTTATTCCCCTTTTGTGTTTTTTTATTTTATTTTTTACTTCCTTTCCATTTTGTTAAATCCACCGTTAAGTTCCTGATTTTTTTATGTTTCAAACTCTAAATATTTTGAAAGGGAAATCTAAAAAAAGAAAAGGACAAATTTGTTAATTTTCATTCAGCTAGTTGCTTACCTTCTTCCCAATTTTCTTAATTCCTTTCGTAATCGTCTTATTTTTTATCATATCTCTCTTTCTTCTTCCTTTCTCTCCCTTTCATGATTAAATACCTTACTTCCTGTTTCCCCTGTTAATCAGATATCTTTGTTCCCTATATTCTTTAACATAAAAAGGTCCATGTCCAGAAATTGTCTCTATAAAAAGGTCCATGTCCAGAAATTGTCTCTATAATTGTCCCTGTAAAAAGGTCCATGTCCAGAAATTGTCTCTGTAAAAAGGTCCATGCTCAGATATTGTTTCTGTAAAAAGGTCTATGTCCAGATATTGTCTCCCCGGAATATTTTCTGTTCGGAAATTGTTTCTATAAAAAGGTCCATGTCCAGTAATTGTCTCCCTGGAATATTTCCTGTTCGTAAATTGTCTCTGTAAAAAGGTCCATGTCCAGTAATTGTCTCCCCGGAATATTTTCTGTTCGGAAATAGCCTTATAGATTTTTATTGTCGCTAAAACGCTTGTCAACCAACTACCGCCCCCCGGGGCCCCCACCCCTTCCCTCCAACTCAGAAACACTTGTCAGAAAGATAGATATTCATCAAATGAGAAGTATTCTAATAAAATCCTCATGATAAATCAACAGCTTCCTGTCTCCACTCATTAAACCCTCAATAAAACAATTTTTACAAAATATTTCAAAAATCCGAGAATTTTCAGATTTACAAATGTTTGCCTTCACTTCACTCAAATGATATTAGAATTTTGTTGAGTCTTTGCAACAAACTCAAATGTTCTGATCCATATAAGTTTAAAACCTGATGGTGTAAACCGTTGCAATTCAAACTTGATCGTACAGAGTTCATGGTTTGAAATATCTAAGGTTGTCGTTAGAAAATCATTGTTTACTACAATTGAAAAAAATATCCGTGTTATTTCCCATTCTAAACGATGCTTTTTAGCTTCTTGTATTTCATTTTAGAGGCTAAAAGGTACTTTTGCAAATAATTTACGACATTTTTTAATGAAGAAATACTTGAAAATAAGAGTTGCCACCGGCTCTGTGTATAGTAAACAATCCAGCCACGTTCATAAAATACATATTTTTTATTTACCCGGGATATAAACTGAAATCTTTATTTACCCGGGATATAAACTGTAATCTTTATTTTCCCGGGATATAAAACTGTAAATCAGGTTCCCTACCACTACAGAAATCTTTATATACATTATTTTGATTTCGTGCCTGGATTGTGGGAAAACAAGGGAAGAACAAAATATAAATATATTTTTTCCACATACTCTCACGGTATTAGTCTAACTAATCTAAAACAGAGATTTTAAATATAATTTTTTTTTACAATAATAGTATAAACTTCCTAAAGAAAGGTAAGGGGGGGGGGCATAATTCTTTTCTAATATGAAAATCATATCAAAGATATGTTTTATGATGATTAATAAAACAACATTTTTTGTTTTGAAAACTTTCACAAAATTTTGATAAAACTGCAACATTTAAAATTCCTCCAGGTTCTGGTTTCTGCACGCATGCACATAATGAAAAGACTCCTAGTGAATGCACGCAAAAAGCGCGCGTTTTAATTCGCATAATGGGACTTTGATAAAAACCTAATTTAAAAATGAAAAGAAGTTTCTCATATCATTCTGCATGAAGCGATGAATAAAAGACTAATCAATGTTTAAACAATTTCTGAGAAATAATTTTTCTGAATTTTTGTCAATTAATATTTTCATATTTGCTTTGTAAGTAGCTTCCTAAATGACGGTCTTACGTTTTTCATAGACCATGCTCTTTAATCTATATCTCACCAATATTATAGGCAGACTCCTTAATCCTGCTTTTTAATCTATATCTCTCCAATATTATATGCTGCCGCCTTAATACTGCTCTATGTATTACCAATATTACAGGCTGCTTCCTTTAAACTGTTCTATAATATATTAAAAATTATACAGACTGCTTCCTTGACACTGCTTTATAATCTATCATTACAATTATTACAAGCTGCTTCCTTTAAACTGCTCTGTAATCTATGTATGTAATACCAATATTTCAGACTGCTTCCTCCATGCTGCTCTATGATTTATATATTACCAATATTTCAGGCTGCTTCGTCCATGCTGCTTTCTAGCCTGGAACGTGAAAAGGAGCTTCTGCGTGTGTTCCTCAAGGTTTCCCAGATGGAGAACAAGATACTCAGAAGGATGAACCTCAGCTCCTTTCTCATGGTAGGATATTATAAACCTTGTAGTATAGGCAATTGCACCCTAGAAAGGGGCTGGTGCAATTGGTGTACCGTCGCGATTTGCCTGGTATAATCTGGATGTGTACTGTACAGCTCTCTCTAGCTGGGTAGATGTCGGCCTGGTTCTTGAAATGGACAGAATCGACTTTTGAGTGTCAGAACCCCTTGTCCTTTGGTTTAACCTCACAGACTTACCTAAACTTTTTTGCAGCCCTAGGCGTATACATTTTAGTACTGCAATGCGCTCGTTTCTAGCTTAAGCTTAAAAGGGGTAATTGGCAAAATACTGATTGAATTTTGCGTGAGAGCGTACACATCTTGGTTTGTTATAGTGTATAGGAGGTTCAGCCAATCGTTTTTGTACTTTCATCTTCAATCAATCACTCCAAACTTGATAAATATAAATCACAAAAATCACAGACACACGACAAGCTAGGTTGATACGACAAACATCACTTTTTAAATGTCGTACTTTATGTATTTTTTTAACAATGCCAATCATGAGGTGGATAGTACGGTACGTGAATAGGGCCCGAAGTTAGTAGAGCATTCCAAATCTCTGATTTTCCTAGATCAATAACGAAGATTGCCTCATAAACCATGAATCTTTTCAAAATATGGTCTGTTTCCTTGAATCTTAAAGAAGTAAACCCCATTCTGGAAGACACAAAAAAAATTGTAAATGTCGTCACTTAATTCTCACGTTTTTCACCTCCCTGTACCCAAATCATCAATTGAAATGTATCAATAAACTTGTGGGAAAATTTTCTTTTTCTTCCTTTAACAGTTTTGGTTTTCTTTTAATATAAATAATGATGCAATTCTCTCAATATATTTTCTTGATTTCTAAACCGACATATTATAGATAATGATTTCATCCATCTTGTCATTAAGCTTTAATGGAAACTGATTACCATCCATTAAACCTAGAAAGGAATTCAGTCTTTGACGCAAACAGTAAATTTGGTTGAAAATGAAAAACTTCATGTTTATCACGAAAGGAATTGAGTCTTTAGCACAAACTCAGATTTTCTAGTCCCTATATCTCAAAAACCTGATGCTGTACAGATTTATATTTTAAACTTAGATTATTTGATCTAATAGCATTCATAGTTTAAAATACCTTGGGTTGCATATATATAGAGATTAGAAAATGTGAGTTTGTGCCAAAGACTCAATTCCTTTCAAGATAAACATGAAGTTTTTCATTTTCCGACAAGTCTAATTTTGAAGAGAAATCCCGTAATTTGTCCGGTTTAAACCAGATTAGATAAATGGATTTACGTTTAATATCCATCAATATAAACCTGCCATGCATGCAATTACTTTGCAAAAACTTTCCTTCGATTTCAATTTGATAAATGGGTGTGCGTACCCCTCCCCCCCTCCCTCTCCCTGCATGGTTTCTCCAGTTTAATTATCCGACTGTAAATCTCGGGGTAGTAGGCTGAACTTGAGATGGAATAGATATTTTTCAAACTCTAGTTTTCAAGCTCCGTTGATCCGTTATAACTCCATCATCTACTGGATTTCTTTCAAGTTCATCTTGATTTAGAATAATTTTTAAAAGAATGATTTTATAATTTTTGATTAACCAAGGACCTGGGTCTATTGTACAATATGACATTTATAATTTCAAATAAGCTAAATTGCTATGCAGATCCCTACTTCTCATTGATCTATAGTAATGCAGAGGGATTTGGTTAAAAAGAAATAACGATGGCGTTAAAATTGCTAAAGGTCGTTATGGTGTCCCTTAATACAATTCTAGGTCTTGCTATTGACATGTTTTTGTAAAAATATATAAATATTTTTTTATTTTCAAAGGTTTGGGGTTAATTTTTTTTTAAAACAAAGCTGACAGATCGTGTTGCCAGTTTTTAAAATGTTTGAATATTAAACTGTCACCGTAACGTTGCCATTGATGAAAACAATCAAATTGACATTCTTAGAAAAACGATAAACAGACCGCCGCCATTTTTATACAATCCACACAAAACGTAGAACGTGTTAAATAGATTTAATTATTATCTACGAAACATGTACCTGGTAATTTCAATTCATAGTCTCGGTCTGTGGTTCAACAAATATCTCTCTTTTCATCAATTCTCAGGACTTTAAATAGAACTTCAAGATGTCGGAGAATAATTAAAAAATTATAAATGATATATCTTTCAATTTACTGATGTATCATTACCGTGCCCCCAGATACACAGTAAACACAAAAAAGATAAAGAATCCATCTTACAGATTTTTATGTTGCGTGTATTTCGACGTGACCCCCCCCCAAAAAAAAAATAAAAAGGCGAATGCATTTTCCCTGAGTATTAAATTCGGTTTAGAAATATAAACCAAATAAAAATTTATGAAAGATAAGGTTTATTTATTGAGATTTCGTCAATTTAATTTTTCAGTTTTTATTTCTGGATCATGTTTTCCTAAGAGATTTTGTTTCTTGTTAATAACTGGTGATATTTTACATAAAGTCTGAACCATCATCCATTCTAATTCTCATTTAACTCAGGCATTTACGTGACTTCCTTAAGTGCCCTGGGGTCTTCTATGAGTAGTGATCAAAAGTTAAAAATGACTCGAAGGAGATTTGATTTACTTTCTGATAACAGACAAACTAATTGTTCGGAAATGTACTGTAAGTGTAATTGTTCAGTCGGAAATGTACTGCAATTGCTCTGTCGGAAATGTACTGCAATAATTCATGCTAAAATGTTCTGGAATTGTACTGCCTAAAATGTCCGAAGGTTGTTTAGCTTGATATTGTAATCCGATTGTTTTGACGAAATTGTACTTCAATTGTTCTGTCAGAAGTTAACTGCAATTGTTTTGTCAAAGTGTACTGCATTTTTTTGTGCAATTGTTTTGTCGAAGTGTACCGCAATTGTTCTGTCAGAAGTGTACTGCAATTGTTTTGTCGAAATCTACTGCAATTTTTTGTATAAGTGTACTGCAATTGTTTTGTCGAAGTGTACTATTGAAATGTACTGCAATTGTTCTGTCAGAAGTGTACTGCAATTGTTTTTTCAAAGTGTACTGCATTTGTTTTGTCGAAGTGTACTGCAATTGTTTTGTCGAAGTGTACTGCAATTTTTTTATCGAAATGTACTGCAATTGTTCTGTCAGAAGTGTACTGCAATTGTTTTTTCAAAGTGTACTGCATTTTTTCTGTCGAAGTGTACTGCAATTTTTTTGTCGAAGTGTACTGCAATTTTTTTATCGAAATGTACTGCAATTGCTCTGTCAGAAGTGTACTGCAATTGTTTTGTCGAAGTGTAATGCAATTGTTCTGTCACCCATTCCGTACAGAAGTTTAGAATAGAATAATTCCGTACAAGAGTTTAGAATAGAAATACTCCGTACAAGAGTTTAGAATAGAATAATTCCGTACAAGAGATTAGAATAGAATTACTCCGTACTAGAGATTTGAATAGAATAATTCCGTACAAGAGTTCAGAATAGAATAATTCCGTACAAGAGTTTAGTATAGAATTACTCGGTACAAGAGTTTAGAATAGAATTACTCGGTACAAGAGTTTAGAAAAGAATAATTCCGTACAAAAGTTTAGAATAGAATTACTCCGTACAAGAGTTTAGAATAACTCCGTCTTTTTTTCATTTGTTTTTATTCGACAATTATTAAAGGGACTGTAAACCTTATTTCAAATGACCCTCGATTGATCAAGTGACATGTGCGATTCACAACAGTGCCCTTTAAAGCCTTGTCTGATTAAGTATGAATTAGATATACAGGTTTTGTTTTTGAAAACTTGTTTTTTTCATTTGTGGTTTCCATGAAAAAGTGACTTGCGTATTAATTGTTTCAGAAGCAATGGAGAAATCATCAGGATTAAAATCTTTAAAGTCAGATTAAGGTTTCAAGGGTACCGTTGTGAATCAGGCATGTCACAGATCAAGGACAATTTTAAATTATGCATACAGTCCCTTTAAGCTACAACTTTGGAGGTTTTATTAGGTCTGAAGATTAATTATACAACATAACCAACTAATTAATTAGTTCATTTATCAATTAATTAATTAATGATTATCTGTAATTAATTAAACCTCATCTAAACATATCCTTTACTAAGTTTGAACCAGGAACAATATGATCGATTGAGTTAACTCATCTTAACTTTAGGAGATCTTTCGTGTTTTAAAGAAAATCTCGCTCTTTCTAAAGGTATAGATCACACGGTGATCAAAGGGAGATCATACGAAGGGAGATCTTACTTTCATTAAAAAGAGATCTTATTTTAAGAATTTGAAAAACCACAAATCCATTAATTTAGAATTTAACCATGTAGAATTTTAAATATAACACGGGAATATAATATTTGGCATGATTTGAGAATATAGTTTAACAAGAAACATCCATAGTTAGTTATCTATATCTATAAATATAAAGTTGTAATCTCTGTTTTGGTGCCTGTCATTTTGTTTGTCCGATCATAACTCAGGAACCCATGAGCCTATTTGCCTCAAATTTTGATTGGGAAACTCGGGAGACTCCCAGGAATGTTCTTAGCTTGGTTTTGCGATTCTAAGTTGAGTGGGTCAGCTTGAACAGCGAAAATTTAGTTTCCCGGAAAAATCGTTCAAGTGTGGGTAAACGGCCGGGAGTAACTTTAGTAACCTTGGCAGTGCTGGGTTCCCAAGCATGGTATATATTTATCATCTCTGTTTGTATGTTCCACTATAAGATACTCGGGAAAATCACGAGGATATTCTGAATTTTTGAGATTCTAAGTTGAATGGTTTCAGTTTTATAAGGGAAAATAGATAAAATCGTAATTTCAGACCAAGCACATGGTAAACTGCTGGAGTTACTATGAGTACCCTGGGAAAAGCTGGGTTCCCAATTTAGTCTTTTATAAGGAAATATCTTGTATCTTTCAATCTTTCTATCCGTCTCATCAAGATATCTTTATGCGCGCGCGCAATTTTCTAGCTTTTTTAATCTTAATCAATACACTTACATACGTTTATAAAGTTGGCAGTGATGTTCAATTTTTTCCCCCCCAAAAAATAATGACGGGTCATTACCCAATCATCATTCATCAGTTTGAATTAAGTTGATTGGAGCATTATAAAGATCGATTTGTGCATTTTTTCAGAGCAAATATTAAACTTTATAAAATATAGATGGACCCTTTAACAATTGTTTTATATAAGAAAATTATCTCCTTTTCTACCGGTCCTTTCGTAAAATTTAATATCTGTCATGATTAAAACATTTGTTGAACAGATACATAATTTTATTCATATATACTTTGGATACATCTATATTCTATATGTATCCAATAAACGGTAAAACGGCTGAACTGATCAGACCCAAATTTTGTATGGGAATTCACATAACCTTTAGAGAAGGTTTATGGTTCGTCAAAAATTAACAATTTTGAACAGAGAAAAATGTCGAAATTTATAATTTTTGAAAATGCGCCTATTAAATAATAAAAAATCCGCGATAAAATTTAGATTCTAAATGGCCACTTTCCATTTAAAAGATAAAATTTATAAGAGGAGGCGCGAAGCGCCCTAATTATCTGTTACTTTGTGAAATATAACACTTTAAATATATATATATATAGATATATATATATATATATATATATATATATAACTGTGCACTTTGTTCCACATAATTTAGAATTTTGATAAAGATCCAACCGTTAGCAATCATTTTATACTGATCCTTCCTTTTCCTGTTGATATCATCTTTCCTTTTCTCATCTTTTAATATTTTTTATCTTAATTTTTAGCTTCTTGACTTCGCAACATTATTATCCTTTTCAGTCTTATTTTATGCCGTTTTATTTGTCCTTTTTTAATCCATTTTCTAATATTATTTATTCTCAAAAATGTCAATTTATTCTTTTTTTTTTTACTTTTTTGGTTCGTACTTGAAACCTTGAATGTTCATAGAAAATTTGACATGAAAAATTGCCCCTTTCCTTTCCATCCATTCCATCCATTTACATTCTATCAAAACTGCCCACAAGTCTGCCCACGTTACCCCCCCCCCCCCCCCCGTGGGCCCTGTGGAACATGATATCTAGGGTTAATGTAATTGTATATAATCAGTGATTAAGGTTAACCCCTCTATAATCTACATATACTCGTGATCAAATACCCTTCAAATCCTTCAAATACATGCCGGGGTGTCCCAAAAATAATGCCAGTGGTCAAATATTCATTAGGGTGCCTCAAAATATATGTAACGTTCGGTTAATTCAACGATAATTTGCAGGGTGTCCCAAAGAAAATGTACTGTCGGTCAAATCCTATATTTGGTAAGGTAGTTTATGTATGAAATATCCAAAGTGTTCTATTGCACTTATAAAATTTACGTTATGCTAAATAATGTTTTTATGCCTAAAAACATAAAATATGGTTTGAGCCTAGGAAATACTTAAAGGGACTGTAAGCTTAATTTCAAGTGACCATCCATGCAAAGATGGCAAAGCCCGATTTTCAACATGTACCCTTGCACGTTTTTTTTCTGATCAAGTATGAATTAGAATCATTTCTGGTTTCTGTAAAAATGATTTTTGCTTTTCTTGTTTATAATAAGCAATGGAAAAACTCACAGAAATAACCACTTTTCAGACGGTTTCTTTTAAATTTTTGAACAGATTAAGGTTTCAGAGTACGTTGTAAATCGGACATTGTCATCTATGTATGGAGGGTCACTTGAAATTACACTTACAGTCCTTTTAAACATACGCTTAAAGTCTCTTTAAACATACGCTTAAAGTCCCTAACATACGCTTAAAGTCCTATTAAACATACGCTTACAGTCCCTTTAAACACGCGTTTAAAGTCCCTTTAAACATACGCTTAAAGTCCCTTTAAACATACGCTTAAAGTCCCTTTAAACATACGGTTAAAGTCCCTTTAAACATATGCTTAAAGTCCCTTTAAACATACGCTTAAAGTCCCTTTAAACATACGCTTTCAGTCCTTTAAACATATTTTAATAGTAACAAAAAAACTCGAACTAATGAAATGTAAATTTTTCTCGACGTTTTATTCTATTGAATTTAATCTTTAGATTTGTTTAACGGATGCTAGCTTTAATCCGTAGATAATCTATTTCCGGTGAAAACATTTCCCTGCAGTTTTATACCACTTGCCAATCATCCCCTTGAGAGTGCAAAATCTATTGGACTAGAACGATATAGACTAATAATCACACCTCTTAACGATATCTCTCTTCCCCTTGAGAGTACGAAATCCATTGGACGATCTCTCTTTCCTTTGATAGTTAAATCCCTTGGAGCAGATCGATTGATAGACTAATAATCACATCTTTTAACGATCTCTCTTTCCTTTGATGGTTAAATCCCTTGCAGCGGATCGATGGTAGACCAATAATCACATCTTTTAACGATACCTTTTCTCTTTGATGGTTAAATCCCTTGGAGCAGATAGATTGATAGACTAATAATCACACCTTTTAACGTTCTCTCTTTCCTTTGATGTTTAAATCCCTTGGAGCAGATCGATAGGTTGACTAATAATCACATCTTTTAACGATCTCTCGTTCATTTGATAGTTAAATCGACAGATAGTTAAATCGATAGATAGTTAAATCCAAAATTGTTCTTTTTAGTAGATGCTTGGTTTTCATTGATACAAAAATAATCAAATTCAGGTTTTGTGTTTTTCACGATTTAATAGAAAAAAGCAAGAAATCTAATAAAGACTTATTTGAATTAAGTAAATTAAGTTTTAGTCAAGTTCTCAGGTCGGGTAAAAGATTTTAGAATTGTATTTCTCATGATTTCATAAAGGTCGACATTTAATACCGGACATATTCCCAGTAGTAGACAGTAATATATTTAATATTTTTCTGTTCAGGTTCCTGTTCAGAGGGTCACTAAATATCCGCTCCTGCTCTCCAGGCTGCTCAAGGTTACGCCGAGCACACACCTGGACAGGGAGAAGATCAGGCAGGCTCAGACCAGGATAGAGTCCGCCCTGGAGCAGATGAACAAGGACGCGAAGGAGATTATCTCTATGAAGGGAACCTGGCGCCGACCTGCTGGGAAGAAGGTTCCTATGCAGAGAGAGATGAATAATATCCGGGTTAGGAAACTATCCCTAGAGATGCTGGGTTGGGGAAGAGAAGAGAGCAGGTTTGCTCTGGAGGGAAAACTCACGTTTGCTCATGTTACCGACACCAACTGGAGAAACAAGTGGAAGGGAACAGTGAACACTGGGCTCAAGCTGGTCACATGTAACGCGTTCCTTGTAGTAACAGGTCGGATACAGGGGGAACTACAAGATATGAGTACCCCAACCCAGATTATTTTCCCCAGGGAACATGTTAGAGAGGCAGTTCTCCTTCTTCTTAGAGAGAAAACTTCAAGATTTTCAACTGTTAGGGTAAGCTACTTTTTCTTCAGAAAGATTGTTCACATTTATTGATCTTTGGTTAGCTTCAAGAAGAACTGTGAAAAACCAGTTCATTTAACCTCTTAAAAAAACCTTTTAGAAATTAATATGTTTAGTTTTATGAAACCAGAGTTTCTAAAAATAACTTGGAATTCGTTAATTTATTAAAGTAACACAACAAATCACTTTTGGGAATAGTTTTTTCTCAATCTTTTTGCCGAGCGTCTTTAAAATTCAGTTTTATCCAAAATTTTCTGAAAAGAATCATTTTAAATATATTCTATGTAAATATCTTTAAGAGTTGCATTTTCAATCTTGTTGAATCTTAAATTAAAATCTGGAAAAAGAAATTCAACGGTTTCCTAAAGAATATAAGTTGTTCAACCTTCCCTAGCTCAAGAGAAAACTTTTAAAACTTTTTCAAAGTTTTTTCAATCTTTCCCTAGAGTGGAAAGTGTTATATGTGTGCTAGAATGTGTATTTGAAATGTGTACGTGTGTTCTACAGATTTTTTGCCACAAACTCAAATTTTCTAGTCCCTAAATCTTTTCAACCTGATGGCGTAAACCTTTGATAATTATAACGTAGATTATTTGATCTGACAGAATTCATAGATTGAAATATCAAGGATCCACTTTATTGGGTTGCAAAGATATAAGAATTATAAAATCAGAGTTTGTGGCAAAGACTCAATTAGTTTTGGAGCAAATGAAATTGATGTATCTGCTTCCACAATTCCAGAAAACTATTTAAAGCACGAAAACATTCACTTCAAGTCTTTGGAACCTGATGATGCAATCCCCATGACATATCAAACTTTGATTTAGTTCATATCATGGACATATTAAAGGTCAATACTTGCCTATAATTTTCAAAATAGAAAGATTAGAAAATTGCAATTTGAGAAGAGTAATCAGTTTCTTTATCAAATTTGTCACCTTTGAGAAGGTTATAATTTTTCCAAAAACTATAATAAAGTAATTTCTCAAGAATTCTTATTTCATATGTTTTATTAAAACACCCTAATATGTGTGTGCTTGAGTGTAAATATAGGATAAAAACTTTAAACATAAATCTCAAGTCAGTATTGTTTTATTTTTGCAACAATAATCTACAAACTTTGCAAAATCTGGTAGAAAATGTTTGGATTTAGTGCAAAATATATATTAAGTGCGACGAAAGGGTTTTTAGGGGATGATGATGTACAAAAAGTACATGTGTCGTGTATTTTATGTAGAAAAAAACTTTTTAAGTTTCTCACAGTCGTCTCTAAAATTTGATTGATTGTAAGTAACCTTGACAATTAACGATTATTTTCTTAAACAAGAAAACTTGGTTTCATGATTCCAAATCTGAACTAAATTTATTTATAATAAACATTTAAAACTTATAAGTTATGTAAGTTTATAATATTACTAAAAATACTAACAAGATTCTAATATATATTTGAAATATTAATTCTAAAATATTATTTTCTATAATTTATACATTGTCTTAAAGGGGATGTTGACAGAATTTCAAGTGACCCTCTAATTGTAAAGTGGCATGTCCGATTCACTATAGTACAAACCGTTAACTTATTCTAATTTCTCTACATTAATGCATTCAATTATTGAGAACTTTGTTTCAATGCTGTTTAATATTTAAAAAATATAAATTTAATAGTTTTTATTTTTATGTTTATTTGTACTCACTGATCTTAAAGTTAAATGTGAACGTTTAAATCTAGATTTTGCAATTTGCATGCACTATCTTATGACGTAAAAGGGAAAATATTTGCGGAAAAATTCAAATTATGGCAAACGATCAACATTTTTATTCTCTAACTACCCCTGGCTGTTCCCACGCCTGATTTAAACGATGTAACCTCAATCGACAAATTATTAAATTATTTCAGCTGAATAGTTTCTTTTTATTTAGCTAAATAATTGGATTGCAACAAATAATTTCTTTTTATTTAGATTTTTTCAAATTATTTTCGAAATATGAAAACTTTAAGTGATAGTTACCGTAATTGTCTTTTAACTTTTTACTGAAAAGTGTGACTATATGATTTACAGCATTACTTTAAATATTGTTTTGGTGCAAGGAAAAGTTGCACTTCTTTTTTTCTTTTATGAGTGAAATATTGACTATGGTGTGAAAATTGATATTAACATCATATTGAAAAATTTTTATTTTAAAAGATAATCGGGAGAAAACAGTTTTTTAACCAAACTAACGATATATTTATTTGTTTAGGATCCGATATATCTTGGTAAGACTGTGATTAGTAATGATGCTGAGTCTGAATGGTTTGAGGTTCAAGAGTTTGGATCTAAAGACTCTTATCTTTTCAAGGTAAATTAAGACAGTACAGTACAGTACAGTACAGTACAGTACAGTACAGTACAGTACAGTACAGTACAGTACAGTACAGTACAGTACAGTACAGTACAGTACAGTACAGTACTGTACAATACAGTACAGTAGAGTACAGTAGAGTACAGTAGAGTACAGTACAGTACAGTACAGTACAGTACAGTACAGTACAGTACAGTACAGTACAGTAAAGTAAGTAAAGTGCAGTACAGTACAGTAAGTACAGTACAGAACAATACAGTAAGTACAGTACAGTACAGTACAGTTAAGTACTGTTATAAAAAAAAAGTTTTTAACTAGAAACTAACCAAAAAGTCTTTGCTTTGGTGACAGTTTTTTTTCAACTAATTCAAAACATTTTTTAAAATTCAAAATTTGAATTGAATCTAATATTTTCCAGCCCCAGCATCATGAATATTGAATAATGTGTATTAAATTAAAATGTAAATAAAGATAATTTTAAAGTTAGCTGTTAAGAAAAGTAAATTTTATATAAATGTTCCAAATTTTACGATTTAATGCTGATGAGGCTAATTTGTTATGAAATTACGTAAAATGAATAAGTGGGTTGTTGGAAGATTTGGGTTTAGAGGTTCAGATAATAAAATGGGAGATTCTTACTCAATTCATGAGAGAATTAAAAATCTAAATAGGATTACAGCTGACAGTTAAAATCTATTAAATCAATTCTTAATCTACCGCTGATGTCAGTTTTTGACATGAGTCTTGAAAACCTTGTTTTATTCATATTTTTATTCAACTAAAAAGCATTAGATATTACAAACAAGCCATTACAATTTACTATGGAGTCTGGATCCGCCTAACCAGGATAGATTGTTTGTGTTTACTATAATTCTCCTTGTGTTTAGGCGGAGGATGCGGAGAGAACCCAAACCTGGTTCCAAACCGTCCAGCTTTATAGTCAGAGTCTAGGAGGGTGGAGGAGAAGAAGAAGAGGTTTAGCAAACATCATGGTTGATCCGGGTACCCACTAGAACAATAGGAGAGGTTTAGCAAACATCATGGTTTATCCGGGTACCCACTAGAACAATAGGAGAGGTTTAGCAAACATCATGGTGGATCCGGGTACCCACTAGAACAATAGGAGAGGTTTAGCAAACATAATGGTTGATCCGGGTACCCACTAGACCACCAGGGGAGGTTTAGCAAACATCATGGTGGATCCGGGTACCCACTAGAAGAATAGGAGAGGATAAGCAAACATCATGGTTGATCCGGGTACCCACTAGACCACCAGGAGAGGTTTAGCAAACATCATGGTGGATCCGGGTACCCACTAGAACACTAAGAGAGGTTTAGCAAACATCATGGTGGATCCGGGTACCCACTAGAACACTAGGAGAGGTTTAGCAAACATCATGGTGGATTCGGACTACTAGACCATCAGGAGAGGTTTAGAAAACATCATGGTGGATCCGGGTACCCACTAGAACACTAGGAGAGGTTTAGCAAACATCATGGTTGATCCGGGTACCCATAGACCACTAGGAGAGGTTTAGCAAACATCATGGTGGATCCGGGTACCCACTAGACCACTAGGAGAGGTTTAGCAAACATCATGGTGGATCCGGACTACTAGACCACCAGGAGAGGTTTAGAAAACATCATGGTGGATCCGGGTACCCACTAGAACAATAGGAGAGGTTTAGCAATCGTCATGTGGGGATCCGGGTAACCTCTAGACCACTAGGAGAGGAGAAAATGTTTAATAAACATCATGGTTGATCCGGGTACCCAATAAACCATATGAAGATGGAATGATGAGCAAACATTATGGGCTATCCGGCACCAACTAGTCAACTAGTATGCTGGAGAACGATAACAGCAAAAGGCACTTGACTTTTCTGGGTCTTACAATGTCAACAGATTCAAGGCTAGATTGACTGTATCAACCCCGAGGAAAAGCTGTTCATGATTAGGCCTAGTGGAGTCTATATCTATTATTTCTAAACCGTTCTATCCGGTTGGAGCTTATTCACTCTGGTTCAGGGTTCACCTTAAAGATGTTTACTCCGTCTTCAGTCGGCAGTTTATAAGATGTTTCAGTTAAATTCAACCGAATTTTAGAAAATTCCGAACAAAATGATGATTTCACGTGAAACCATGTTTTTATTTCTGAATATCTACTTGGTTGAAACTAGAATAAAGTTCATTCTTTATGAGTACGTGTCCGAAATAACATATTTCACATTAGAGTCGGGTGTGCTAGTCCAGGGAAAATTTAACAATGAGTTTGCGGTTTAGAGAAATTTTTGGACCTAGCTAATTAATTACAGACCTGGTCTAAATACAAACTTTAAACTATTAAAATGTGGAGAAACTACACATTTATTTAATTGCAATCACCACGGGACGCTACAGAATGAAATCGAACCTGGACGTCTCATGGTTTCGTTACAATACTCAAATATTTAAACCTTTGTAAATATTATGTTTATAAATGATTGTTAAAAAGTCACAATTAAATATCATTTTATATTGAACGCATATAAATATATCGAAGAAAATTAATAATTTCATAACTTTTGAAATTAGAAAGAGAGAGAGAGGTGGTGGTTACCCACGAAGGATTAGACCTAAACCTTCGTTTTTAATTCAATATCAGTCAATTGGTGCTAATAAATTAGAATAGCAAACAATAAAATTAAGAATTAAGATGAAAAATTAAATGTTTACCTCCAGACAAGTTTCCTCAATTGTGGGTAACCAGCTGTTTTCATAAATCTTTCTCTGCAATCTTTCAAAATTTTACTTGATGGGAGGGTATCAATTGAATGTTTTCAAACTTATTCCAAAATTTTAATTTTACAACAGCCATTTTCCTATAATGTCAATATAGGGTAAATTTTGAAAGATTTCTACTGTGTCTGACAGGTTTAAAAAATGTTACGGCATGCCATTTGCTGCGGCTAGGATGACTAGGATGTTTGAGAAATAAATTGAGTCCTAGTCACAAACTTTGATTTTTGGAACCCAATGTGGAATACCTTTGATATTTCAAACTGTGTATTTTGTTAGATCAAATAATCTAATTTTGAAATATCACCAAGGTTTTCACCAACAAGATTCAGGGATTCGATAGTTTGAATATGTGGCAAAGACTTAATTCATTTTCTAGTGTGAAGTTTTTTCTTGAGAAATTGTACATTTGGGTATTCCCTTGGGATTTATAGTGAGGAAATTATCTTATAGTCTGTCAAGAGTTAATTTTTAATTTAATTTTCAAAATTTATTGAACAATACGTTCGCGCTTTTTCACTCCCCGTTTGAAAATAATTTTTCTTTGCCCCCCCCCCCCTTTTGAAAATAATTTTTCTTTGCCTCCCCCCTTTTACATATATTTTTTCCCCAGGGTGTTGAATACGCGGTGAATAAATTTTTCTGTCATGGTTTTATTTGCTGAATTGGGGGAAAAAATGATTTCCAGGGGAACAGCAATGAATTTTTGGGTAAAAATATCAAAAATAATTAAAATAGTTACCTTTTAATCTCCAATGTTTCATTTTCCCCCCAGATCGTCAATTTGTACGGGATTCTGACAAATATACACCCCTTCAAATTCTGCTTTATTTTCTTCAATTTAACTAATAGAAAAGGATAATTAATTGAAAGTTGGAATTTCTGCGCTGTAGAATTTTCTGTTCTGTTCTGTAGCAGGTACTTCCTTATTGTAGAATGTGCATGCATGTAGATCATGTAGTATCCAAGATTTACTAATCATTGTTTAGTCTCCTATACAATAAACACATTCCGTACATATGTTCTAAGAATACCGAGCCTCCAGGGTTAATACATTTCTTAAATCTGAATATTTTCTCACAAATATTTGATTCCACCATTAATCAAAGAATCCAGTTTTTTTGTAATTGTGAAATAATTCCGTAATAATTATAGAGTCCAGGGGTCTAATTACAGTTTACATGCTAATCCCTTATTGTTACGGAATAATTATAAAAATAAGGAATTAAGCCATTATTTTAAACTTTCGCAATATTTCACAATTTTATAGTTCAGGCTTAGATAAATAAAAAATTTGCAACAAAGCGAAACTCATATTTTCCTTATAAAAATAAAACCTTGGAAGAAAAAATTAAAACCATAAGAGGATGAGTACAAACCATGAGAGGAAGGATTTACACCACAGGAGGTAGGATTAAAACCTTGGGATGAAGGATTTAAACCGTAGGAGGGGATTAAAACCTTAGAAGGAAATATTAAGACCATAGGAGAAAGAGTTCAAACCTTGAGAGGAAGGATTAAAATCATGGGAGAAAGATTAAATCGTCGGGGGAAATGATTGAAAATTTAGGAGGAAGGATTTAAACCGTAGGAAGAAGAGTTCAAACCTAGAGAGGAAGGATTAAGACTTTGGGAGGAAATACTAAAATCTCGGAAGGAAGGATTAAAACCTTGGGAGGAAGGATTAAAGCCTTAAAGGAAGGATTTGACCCATAAGAGGAAAGATTAAAACTTGGGAGGAGGAGTTTAAACCGTAGGCGGAGGGATTAAAACATTAGAAGGAAATATTATAAGGAAGGAAGGATGGGAGAAAGCCTTGGGAGGACAGATTAAAACCTTGGAGGATAGATTAAAACCATTAGAGGAAGGATTACAAACTTGGAAGGAAGGATTAAAACATTAAATCTTTCAATTTCTTCATCTATATTGTTATATTTGAAACTTTGGGAATATAGCCTTCGAATGTTGTCTAAACCCCTTGGGAGAAGGATTGAAACCCTGGGAGGAAGGTTACAAATTTTAGAGGGAAGCTAAACAAGCCTACGAAAGAAGAAATTTATGGAACTGAGATTGGACCAAAAATAACTATATCATTTTTTCTGCTTTACGAGTGTCCATTTTGTCTCATACCCCTATAGCTTAATGTCAATCATCTATGCAAAAAGTAACTAAACATTATCAGTTTTACTGCTTTATACGATCGAGACCATTTTGTAACCTGCCACTATTGTATAATAGCAATTAATCTTTGTTAAAGTACAATCATAATCATTAGTTGAATAAACCTGGACACTGATCTAGTGCCATGCTATCTACAGTAGGTTCAGCAAAATCGAGGAATAGGAAGACGACATTACAGCAATAATTAGATGAATGTATGAAATTGATAATATTGATAACTTTTTGTATCAGTTAATATGTGAAATGGGTTGGTCTGCACTGCTCAATTGCTTATTTATCTCATTGAAATCACTACCTGAGCTTTAAATTTCTTTTATTGCTTTAAGTCAATGAAGTAAGTTAGTATTAATTGTTAGATTTACAAATAAATCAACCTCGTAGACTGCAGTCAAGCAGGAAAATGAGTAAAATTTGAACCATTTTCGATGTAACACGAATATTTATATTACTGGCTTTATAGGGACCACGTCAAATCTCACTTCACTTCTCGAGTCCTTAGTCCTTGATTACAATAATCATAAATCTTCCAAGGAAATCAAATCATCAACTTTAGGAAATACTATAAATTTTATTTGGTATTAAATATGTTTAACATAGTTCATAATAGTCTGAACAAAATACTTTAATTACTAAGTTTTAATTTCAATTGACGCATGCATGTACGCTGATGTGGAAAGTGATGACGCAATTATGCGTATTTAGTAGCTTCTGATTGCAGGGGGAACCCACTTGCACTCCTTCTCATCAAGAGTATGATCAATCACAGGTCTACAAAATAAAATAATCATGCTTTGCAATGTCAATAACAGTTTCAAAACTTGAAAATAATGTTTTCGTAAAAATACCATATTTTTCGCTTACAGTTATTTAATTTTGTCTCACGAAATGTATCGGTTACTAATAATATTAATGACAAGATTAAAGTGTAAAAAATTATGAGTTTTTTGTTCTTTAGTACAAGTTTAAAATGACTGAATGTAAAAGCGTATTTAATCCTCCGGATTTAATTACCTGTACTTAAGGACGGTCTTTCCCTTAGTATCAGTCCAGGATAGAGTATGCTTCCTCCAGTGCTGTTCCATAGGAATAGGAGTCTGTCCCTCTAGAGGCTTGGCGTAATTCAATTCATCCATCCTGTCCTTGAAATCCTCACGGGCATGTGCACCTCTGGACTCTTCTCTAGCCTCTGCGCTCTCGATGATCTGTTGAGCGTTGACCATGCAGTTCTGGAGTTCTAGAGATTCGACCAGATCGGAGTTCCAGATCATTCCACGGTCAGATACCTTTAAGTTTTCCATATCCTTCCAGAGAGCGTTCATCTTGGTGATTCCTTCTCTCATGACAGGTCCGGTTCTAAATACAGCAGCATGATTCTGCATGGTCTTCTGCATCTTCAACCTAATCTCAGCAGTAGGAGCAGTACCGTTAGCAAACCTCAGAGCATCAAGGTTAGCAACAGAGGACTCCCCTGCATTAGCTGACAGGTCAGCAACCTTCTCCCCGGGCTTATTCTCTGCAGCAATGGTTTTAGCGCAGGCACGACCAAAGATGACAAGATCAAGAAGAGAGTTAGCTCCCAACCTGTTAGCTCCGTGAACAGATGCAGAGGCAGTTTCTCCGGCAGCGTAGAGTCCGGGAATAATCTTATCGGATCCATCAGCTCCTATAGTGATAACTTGACCTTTGTAGTTGGTGGGTACACCTCCCATATTGTAATGTACAGTGGGAAGAACAGGGATAGGTTCACGGGTAACATCTACACCAGCAAAAATCATGGCTGTCTCAGAGATACCGGGAAGTCTAGCCTGAAGCTGCTCTGGGGGCAGATGGTGGAGCTGTAGGAAAACGTGATCCTTCTCAGGTCCACAACCTCGGCCCTCGCGGATCTCGATCGTCATGGAACGTGAGACAACGTCTCTTGATGCCAGATCCTTGGCAACAGGGGCATATCTCTCCATAAACCTCTCTCCCTCGCTGTTAACAAGATATCCTCCTTCTCCTCTGCATCCTTCAGTCATGAGGCAACCAGCTCCGTATATACCAGTAGGGTGGAACTGGATAAACTCCATATCCTGATTGGGAAGTCCAGCTCTGCTCACCATAGCTGTAGCGTCTCCGGTACAGGTGTGGGCGGATGTGGCGGAGAAATAAGCTTTACCGGCTCCGCCGCAGGCAAGAACGGTATTCTTGGCATTAAACCTTAACAGGAAAGTTGAAAATGGCTTTATCGTATGTTTCATTTACGTAACTTTAATTGAATTTTTGTTTTAAAGAAATCGTTATGGATGAGATTTGTCCCCTTCCATTAGTTTTCAGTTTTTAACACTGTTGTAAATCTTTAATTTAAGTCAATTGAAAATCCCTGAATAAAATTTGTTAATGTTCACCTATGAATGGTTCCGTCCTCAAGGCAGAGAGCAATAACACCAACACATTCTCCCTTCTCCATCAATAGATCCAGGGCAAAATACTCGATAAAGTAGTTGCAGTCGTACCTAATCAATCAATCAATCGTTAAATTTATTTTCAATTGATGAGCTAAAAGGATGTTTTTAAAGAAGGTTGTCGGATAGAAGAAATAAAATTTAACGTTTAAATCTCCAAATATCATTGATAAAATATCCCGTTCGTATACATATTCAATTTTATCCAAGTTAAATATTAACCTGAGACTTTGACCGTAAAGTGTGTGGAGTAGAGAGTGCCCTGTTCTATCGGCTACACAGCAGCATCTATGTGCTTGACCTCCCTTACCGTACTGGTAGGATTGACCTCCGAAAGCTCTCTGATAGATTTTACCCTCAGGAGTCCTAAACAAATTATTGATACAAAGGTCATATAATTTTCATCTCGATATCAAGGGTGCAGATTTTCTAAAAAATCATCTCCAAAATTTATTAAGTTATCTATTCGCTGACGGCGAAAATTAATAATTATTCGACCAAAAAGTATAAAAATGGAAGAAGAAGACTTGTCGGTTGTGACTAAAATTTGTCATTATTTTGCATTTCCCCCTCCCCTTCTTTTAAAAAATAATTTCCGACGTTCCATTCCTCAAAATCTCAAGAACTTTTTAACGAAAAAGTTTTAATTTAGTAATAGGCAATCCAGATGAAAGGAAGGTTTTATAAATACTTGTAACTTCTAAAAGACTATTTTGAGAAAACTTTTTTTTTCTGAAATAGTGATTGAATAAAGCGTTCCAGGTTGTATTCCATATGATTAAAAGTTTATATAAATCCCGAGATTCGTTATTAATATTTTTTTAACGGATCATTATTTGTTTATTAAATGTAAGAATATAAAAGTTAGGAATTTCTTCCTTAACAATATATACTTGTGAGACTAAATACTAAAAAGTTTAACTAGACGATGGCTAAGGATCATATTTCAAAATAGAAAATAATAAAAGTTTATTAGCCCGGTCTCTATTATCTATATAATAACATGAATTCTTAATGTTCCACTGCGCACTAAAAACAAAACTGTATTACGAGGAAGAAAACATCAGAATTAATTATATGTACAGTTAAACCCTAAATATTAATTACATTGAAAGAATTTATCAGATGTCGTATTCTTCACGTTCTGATAATGGACTGTAGCAGATATTTAGATTTTTAACTAAATGATTATACGGAGAATTTTAAAACTGGTCCCGCATATTCATGGCTATTTATTTATTTTCGCAAATACTGAGATTTACGTAAAATAGTATAAAACCCATTGAAAAAGTGTCAAGACATTTCATAAATTCTTTCGATGTATTTAATATTTAGGGTTTAACTGTACATTGTCAGCCAGTTTCATATCGTTTTAGACTGATCTTTATACTCTTTATATTTATATACTCTGCTTGTCCGTTTGCATCCAATAAACGTCAAAACGATTGGGACCAATTTTTATGTGACAACTCACATGACTCCAAAAAAGCTTAATGGCTGATTCAATTAAACAATTTTGCCCGAAAAAAAAATGTTATCCTTAATTTGGGAAGATCCTTTAATATAAACAAAAGCAAGATTAACGAACAGTTGTGTTTTACTCGAGAACGATGGAATAAAAAATAAGTTGAGCCAGTAGAATTTATTTCTATTTCCAAGAAAAAGTGTAATCAATAATATTTGGGTAATTTCTTTACAATTGGCATATAAATCTTATCAGTAGGAAAAATTCTTCATAAAAATGCAAAACGTGAGGAAAATTTCTACAATTTAGAGAAATCCTATTTAGTACCAAACACTTAATTTGTTACAACTCCTGCATTTGATTTCATTAAATAAATAAAACTGGGAAAAGTTAAAAATGAAATAAATTTATAACTACAAAAAACTCTTTTCAAAAACCACTGTCATAATATTTAGTATTAGACTAATCAAGTCCTTTTTGTCAAGTAAATGAAAAAGTATCTTTTTTAATTTTTTTTTATTATTTACCTAGTTTTAATGCATTAAATTCAAATAATTACCTGGAGAATGGCATTCCGTAGTTCTCTAGTTCAATAACAGCTGCAGGTGCCTCCCTGGTCATGTAATGGATTGCATCCTGGTCTCCCAACCAATCAGAACCCTTCACTGTGTCGTACATGTGCCACCTCCAATCATCAGGCTCCATGTTGCCGAGAGCAGCGTTAATACCCCCCTGAGCGGCCACGGTGTGGGACCTGGTTGGGAAAAGTTTGGTAATAACAGCAGTCTTGAATCCCTCTTCAACCAAACCAAATGCAGCTCTCAAACCTAGGAAAGAAACAGTCGTGATAATACTGGTTGGTTTATTGAAAAGATAGTGAGTTTCACAATTTTTTTTCCATTATAATAAATATTGTTCCTGCTAGTTTCAAGGTTAAATAAATAAAGTCCTCAACAAAACTGTAACAAAAAATTTTAACATCTATAATGCAACCCAGTAATTCAAGTATTATAGTTTATAATCTGCTTAAATAACAACGTTGATATTAAAATGTAAACAATATTTTACATCCCTGAACATATGATAATTTCTGTTTTGTTTTAGTTTTTAAATAAGAATGAAAAGAAATTCGTTGAGATATTGTGTACCTGCTCCTCCTGCTCCAACAACCACAGCGTCATAACTGTGATCAACAACAGGATATTGACGAGAGATTGCGTCTTCCTTTACTTTAGCCTCGCCCTGTCCGGCAACTGTGAAGCTGAAGTTACGGAGAGGGGGGGCGACGGACCCCTTCTTCAGGAGCCCCGTTATACGCGGCATTCCGGCCATCGTACCTTAACATTAGATGTTAAATTGGAAAGATACTAAAGATACCTAATTTTTTTTTCATTAGTTACATATTTTTTTCCAGAAAAATACTTAAACCCCGCTAATAAAACTTTGTCCCCGCCCATATCGAGAGTAAAGGCCAACAGTTTAAAAAAGAATCAACATTTTATTAAGCATCACGAGGACAATAATTCCCAATTTAAAACTATTTTCCGGAATCAAATTATAAAAGGAGTTCTTTTTATATTATAACCCATGACTGTTTTCAAGACAGTGTCAGGTTTTCCATTTTCGAACATATCCTTAATTTGAATCATTGTCGCGTTTTCGAGACAAACCCACGTTCCCGTTTTTGAGAATAATAATAATTTTAATAATAATAATTTTTTCAAAGCAAAACTCACTTCAAAATAAGCAAATCACTGAAAGTAAAAATAATCCAATGAATACTAACTTTGCTAAATTAGCTCTAAAATCCTATTTTATTTATTAAATTAGAAAATAGAGTTTATTTAATTTACCGCAATCTAAATAAAGTTTCCCGGATTTCTAGTTGAATCTATACTGTAGGAACAAAATAATTTTAAAATATTGGTTTCTGAATGCTTTAATGATTTATAAATTATACAAGAACAGTATTTTTTTGTTTTCTATTTTGCTCACATTTTACCTGATCAAAAAATCTTGTTTTGTTACGTAAGAGCGTAAATGATTGAAAATATACTTTGATATGAATTCGAGTAATTGTCTCAAACCGCGAAATGAGCTGAAATGCGGTAATTGTTTTAAGTAGGGATATGTTCGAATATGAAAACCAATATCATCAAAAACTAATTCTTATCTCATGCCTTATTATTTTATTATTATCTAAAGTTGACAATTCTTGCCTCAATAATAAGTTATAGCCATTTTAATAAATGTATGGTGCAGTTATGTTCAACTCTGCTTGGATTTTAAGATATGTACGCTTGAAAAAGATATCTTAACAGATTTGGCCCATATCTAACACTCAGTGTTAGAAATGGGCCAAATGTTAGTTTTGGAACTGCAAATAAGGATCAGTCCTTGATCTCCTGGCGTTGTTGGGCTTAGCTTGGAATCAGTGTCTGACCTACTGGCTATGTTTACTTATCTGTGATCAGTGTCTGACCTCCTGGTTATGTTAGCTTAGCTAGAGATCCACATTTGACCACTTGGCTTTGTTAAGCTTAGCTAAGAATAAGTATATGACTGACTGGCTTTGTTAAACTTTGCTAGGGATCAGTATCTAACATTATGGCTTTGTCAGGCTTAGCCAGGGATCAGTATTTGACCACCTGGTTTTGTTAGGTTTAAGTGGAGATCAGTATCAGACCTCCTGGAATTGTGAACTTATCTTGGGATCAGTATATGACCTCCTAGCTTTGTAAGTGATCAATATATGACCTTCTTCCTTTCTTAGGCTGAGTTAGGTAATTGAATCTGACCTACTAGCTTAGACGAGCTTTACTAAGTATCAATCCTGACCTCCCAGCTTTGTTACACTACGTTAGGTTACAGTAAATTGACCTCCTTCCCTAGCCTTTTATCAGACCTGGTCGCCGGGCCTGTATGACTATCAGTACCTGACATCCTGACAAATTTATTTCAAGTACTCCTTTCTAGGTTGGCTGCAGGGTTTAAACTAGTTCTTTTCAAACTGCCCGATGTGAGGAGTCTGCCTTCTTACTTAAACCAAAACAATTTGACAATAATCTTGAGTTTTGTAATAGCGCTTTCTCATCTCAACATTCACTTTTTAATAAAATTATGAAATATGTTTATTCAGTCACCCGTAGCTGATCCTAGATGTTCAATTATAATCCAGAAGTTATTTATACGATTAAATAGAGACAATCTTTAACGATTTAAGTAATATAAATCTAACCTTTTCAGCCAATTTTATTCTTCTGTGGTGGTTTCTGTATTCTGCTACGAATCTATGGATAAAGTTACCTAAGTTTATCCGTTTCGTAAGCGGAGAAAGGCAACAGCTGACTGGAGGAAACAAGTTGCAACAATTAAATGAAATAAAATAAATAAAAAATAAAATAAAATTTAAATATTTCTGTAAAAATTATTACTTAAAATTACGGTTTTAACTTTAGAATAGATTTACTTATAAAAATAATATTTTTATGCTGTTGTATAATTGAAATATATATAACTTGCAGTCTCTGCAATGGACGATTATTACATGAACGTACACTTTCCAAAAAAGACAAGCGTAAAGACGACCTATAAACATTTCGTTGATTTTCACATAATGTGAATTGTGAATTCAGTTTTTTGATATTTTCAATTATCATTACTTAAAATACCTAATACACAGGGGTGAAGTCTGGAAAAAACCCTGGAAACCTGAGCTGGAATATTTTGAATAGTGGATATCGGAATTAATGCTTGATCTCCTCTTTTTCTTAATCTCGAGATTTTGCTTGTCTCCTCCTCTTGATATTAATCTCCAAATTAATTAACCGATCGGGATTAAGGATATCCAATTCTAAAGTTTTTAGCTCAGATTCTGATTCAGATTAATGCAATTCGATCTTAAACATTTAACATAACGCCTAGTCTTGAGATTTTCAAAATGTGGTCTACCATTTTTGTATATCTTCAAAATTGACGGAGATATTGCAAAATTTGTACAAATTTCAATTTATTTAATTAATCAAATTTGTCTTAATATCTAATATCTTCGTCAATTTTTAAGGTACAAGAAAGGTAGACCACTTAATGAAAAGCTTGTCAGACGAACAGCCTCGATTTTTACGTTCTTTGCCATGCATTAAATATCGAAAATCAAATACGACTTTCATAGAAGTCAAAAGAAGCTGTCAATTAAGAAGCTTCTCTTTGATTACTTTTAGACATATCATTCGAATAAAAAGTTAGTTAACATTAACAAGTTAAATGAAAAAGTGGTCTTTATTGTATTGATATAATCACCTACCATTGTATAAGTAAGAATTTGTGTGTTGTGAATCGACACGGAATTTAGCATTTATCTCCATTTTAATCATACCTCCGGGATTTATATAATTCCTCTTCGATCTTCCGTGATGCAGGAATAGTAAAATCTAGGAATCAAGCATTTATCAGCTTAAATTTAAAAGTTCCCACATTAAATATTAAGATAAAGTGTTCAAGGTTAACGATACTCCATAACAAATTCCAACCTCTGAAGACTGAACTTTAATGTTACTTTAATGTTACTTAATGTTACTTTAATGGACAAAATAAGTGCTGAGTCTTTGTCACAAACTCTGATTTTCTAATCCCTATGTTTTTGCAAACCAATGTCGTAAATCTAAGAAATTTTAAACTATGAATTAGTTTGGATCAATAGTGATAACCAGAAAACTGTAGAGTAGGAAGACGACATTAACGCAATAATAATTAGTATGATGCGGTTATAAAGTTTAAATAGTTTTTCGAGTAAATTATCAAGTCAGTTTTTATGTCATTTGGGCCTTTTTACACCGCACAATAGTATTGTCTCATGTTCATTGCACTATTTAGAGTCATTAATTGAGTCTGAAAGTCGTCTCCCTATTCCAGAGTTTTCTGGTAATCACTGTATAATCATGATATATCGAAGGATTACACAATCAGGTTGTGACTAAAACTCAATTCCTACTTATGGTTTTTATAAACAAAAAGTTAAAGGGACTAAAGACTAACTTTTAGTGGTAGATCTAAACCTTGATCTGGTCAATAATATGGAAAATATCGTCATTTTTCTAGCTTAACAAGTGTTTTATTCTGACCATTTCCTATATTGTTTTTTGATCGGAAATACCTGTTAAGGGTACGGTTGTGAGAATCATACATGTGCATACATACATGTATGTAGAATGCTTCGAAACTGTCTATCTACATAAAAATACTGCAATGGAACTGTTTAAAGTTTGGTTTCTGATGATGCAGCTATATGGATAAATCCATCTTCAAGATTGATCAAAATCTCTTCAATTCTTCACAAATTTAATATATTTCTTCCCGGAATATATTAAAATGAAAACTTTCTTTTAAAGACAAAGTGCTGATACAGTTTGCAGTAGGTTTAGGAAAAGCAAAAATGCTTCAATACAATTTTTAAAGGAACTAAGTTCTTGTAACAAACTCCAATTTTTAAATCCTTTATACCTTTTTAACCTGATGGTGTTGAAGCCATTGATATTTCAAACAGAATTTATTGCTTGAAATATCAAAGGTCTACAATATCGTATTGCCAAGATTTAAAAATCCCATTTTGTGGCTAAAACATATTTTATTTTTTTTCAAGATTATAAAGCTTTTAATTCAGAGTTAAACAATAAGGAGAACCTAAATGAGCTTATACAGCTTAATTTGTCCAGGGGTGTCTTAACCTTTTTTGATGACATTTAGAGGGGGCCTATAGTCCTCGTTGGGAACCCCTCCTAAAATAAGGGGGGGGAGAGAGTTTAGGCCCCCATTATAGGGCTGAAGCCCCCTGTTAGTATATATACTTCCGACCCTGAGAAGCCGAAATTGTTAAACACTCTAAATTAAAAAGTCATAATTAAGCGATTAAGTAGTCGCCTAATTGGGTGGAAAAGTTGGATGGCACCCGATTAGGCGACAAAAATCGCTTAACATAAATTGCTTATTTTACAAAAAAAATCGCTTATTTTAAACAAAAAAAATCGCTTATATTGCTTAAGAAGTTGGTGACTGTCAAATAAGTGACCCAAAATCGCTTATTTACAATTAAAAATCGATTAATTTGAAAACAAAAAACGCTTATTTTTAAAGGAATCTCTTATTTTTAACAAAAAATTTGTTATTTAAACAAAACAAAGGGGAAGAGAAAAGAGGAAAAGGGAAGGAAAGGGAATGGTAACAGTAAAAGAAAAGAGGATTGGAAAAGGGATGGGTCAGGAAACGGTGGGGAAGGGAAAGGGGATATATAGAGCTAAGGGAAGGAGGAAAAAAAGGGGAAAAAGAAATGGGAAAGGGATAGGAAAAGAAAAAGAGGAAAGGGGAGGAAAAGGGAAGAGAAAAAACAAGAAAAGGGATGAGAAAGGGGAAGGGAAAGGGGACAGAGAAAAGGGAAAACGGAAGGTAAGGGTACAGAGGAAATAAAAACAGGAAGGAAAGTGAAAAAGAGAAAAGGGAAGGGAAAGTAAAAGGGGAGGAAAGAGGAATGGCAAAGGGAACGGGATATGAAAGAGGAAAGGGAGTAGAGAAAAGGGAAAGGGGAAGGAAAAGACAAAGGAGATGGGATGGGAATAGAAAAGAGGAATAAGGAAGGGAAAGAGAAAGAAAAACGGGAAACTGGAAAGAGAAGGGAAAAAGGAAATGAGAAAGAAAAAGGGAAAAGGAAGAAAAAGAAAAGATAAAAGGGGACAGGAATGAGGAACTAAAAAGAGGAAGGGAAATTGGGAAAGGAGAGAGGACAAGGGGGGAATAAGAATGGGAAATATGAAAGGGGACAGCGGAAGGGGAAGAGTAGGAAAAGGAAATGGAGAGGAAAAAGGGATGGAAAAGGTCACGTGATTTCCGTCTTTACCACGTGACAACGATACTGCATTGTCATTGGCTGAAATAATTTTGTCGAAATACAGACTATACGGACGATATGTAATAAAATTATCAATCAATCTAAAAAATGCAAAATAAAAATAAACTAATTATAACAGGCTCAACCCTAAGATTTTCAGGTTGCTGTGAAATATTGTCGTTTTCAGATTGGTTGCGTAATTGTTGAATATGATCTATTTAATACTACAACTTTTATACAAAATCTGGCATATGCCCGTTTTGGTATTATTATGTCCATTTCTCGAGACAGGAACATCAGATGTCTTATATGTAACGTTCAACGCCTGAGATTCTCAGGTTTCAGCCTATACCCCCTTTCATTTTTCCTTTACTGCAGTCCCTTTAATTTCACTTTTTTGAGACTTTAATTAAGAATGTAGGGATACTTTTACATTTGAGATTAATCAACTTGCGTCCACAAAAGGATATCTAATTGCTAAAAAAAAGGCGAATACTGCATCATTCTTTACTGCCTAGAAAAAAATTGAAAACCGTGTTATTTAGGTAAAAAATCAAGCTCAAATATGCTTTTAGAAAAAGATATTAAAAGATTATCCGATAAATAATTAAAATAAAATATGTTTTACATTTTTGTACTAATGAAAAAATATATTTTGTAAACATGTCTTAGAATTCTGCATAGAAAGTAAATTTGTTGATTTTAAATCCCTGAAACTATCTGGTTTCTAATTGAAGCCCGGAAGGGTAATACATACATTAGAAATTAAGCTGTAGGGAAAGGAAAATTAAGTTGTAGGGAGAGGAAAACAAATGAAGAGGCTTTTTCCTCTTCAAACCATTGACAAGAGAGAACTCATTATTGGAAACCCTTCAAATAAAAAGAACTCTTTATGGATCTCTAGGAGCAATGGAAGAGAAATAACATTCAAAATAAACTTTTGATCTTTTCTCTAATTTAGAACTTATCTAGCATATCTGTAATTGAGATTACATTTTATTAGAATCCAGATGCAACCAGAGGTATGTATGAGCTATGCACAATAGTGCGCAAGCAATCCGTGCATAACCATCTTATATGAATTTTTGCGATCTTTCGTTGTCCGAGAGCAGTTTTGATTGGTGTTTGTTTTCAGCAAATAAAGATTAAAATCTCATTCTCGATACCAACCTTTCTCGCTGTCTGTTCTTTTTCAGGATTTTGAACCTCTCTTTGGGCTTATTTATATAATTACTGTGCTTTTCTGTTTGTCTGTTTGAATGTTTTGAAAAATGCGCGGAAAAATTTTGAAAATGCGCGTATAAAATATTATCAAATCCGCGAACCTTTTGTTTGTTATTGTTTTATATTCTACAAAGAGAAGATGCTTACAGAAAGCCACAATTAAAAGTTGAAATAGAGGCTTAAAGCCTAATATTTAAATATTGCTCAGTCCACTACGTTAAGAATTCATTTGCAATGTAATTC